CTTCTCAAATAAATAGCATTGAACAAAATCAGATCTAGGGACCAGGGTTGCGGCACTACCACTTGCTATGCCAACAGCCCATATCAGAGTGCCAATCAAAGTCCTGGTTGCTATGCTTCTGATCCATGCTAATGTGCCCAGGAAGGCAGCGGAAGACGGCCTGAGTACTTGGGCCCCTACTACCCACGCAGGAGACAAAGACAGAGTTTTACATTCCAGGCTTCAGCCTGGCTCAGCCCCACCTGGTCACTATAGCCATTTGAGGAGTGAACCAGTAGATGGAAGATCTTTCTGCTTTTCCTCTCTTTGTCGGTCTGCCTTTTTCTTTTTAAAAGAATTTTTAAAAGTTATTTGAAAGGCAGAGTTAGAGAGAGAGAGAGAGGTCTTCCATCCGCTGGTTCACTCCTCAAATGGCAGCAATGGCTGAAGCTGGGCCAATTTGAAGCCAGGAGCCAAGAGCTTCCTCTGGATCTCCCATGTAGGTGCAAGGGCCCAAGCACCTGGGCCATTCTCTGCTGCTTTCCCAGGCCACTAGCAGGACGCTGGACTGGAAGTGGAGCAGATGCGACTCAAACCATCCCTTAGATGGGATGCCTCTCCCCCGAGTGTTGTGCTGGGATATAACCACCTCTTTCTCAGACATCTATACTTTATACTCAACATGCCAAAAGTCAGCTGATTGTCTCTTTCTTCCCTCCTCAAAATTCTCATTCTCCACTGGGTGCACCACCCCTTCTAAGCTTCAGTGTCTTCCTTGACCCATCCCATTTTCCTATTTCCCCAATTGACAATTTTTGTCAATTTCACCTCCTAAATCCTTCAACTTTCCTCCTCATTATTGATTTGGACCACTGCATCGGCCTTCTAACTTTTCTGCATTGAGTTTTGTTCCATTCTAATCTATTCCCCACACCAAGTCTCAAGGCAGACATTTGTCTAAATTTCCCAACTCCCCTTCTAAACTCCTTTCACTCCCTCATTCAGGGGCCTGCCATTCCCTGCCTGGACTTCACATCCTTGTTAACACCCAACACAGGGTCCTGCAGTTGAGGAAAACAGGTAGTGGCAAAGTTGTGTGTGTGTGTGTGTGTTTAGGGCAGCAGGAGATAGGTAGATGGCAGGCAGTAATGCTTTATGGATGGATTTTAAAAAATGAATTCTTTATGGAATTAAGCTATATATTTAGGGGAACATAAATACCAACAGAATGGTTGTAAACAAATAGCAGACCTTGCATGTTAAGTTGATAGGAACTCAGACCTGGGAATCAGAGGTGGAAAGTGGCAGAAGATGGCCTCTAGCAGCCACATAGGAGACCTGGATGGAGTTCCTGGCTCCTGGCTTCACGCTGACTCAGCCTTGGCCATTGCGGCCATCTGGGGTGGTGAACCAGTTGATGGAAGGTCTCTCTCTCTTACTGTCACTCTGCCATTCAAATAAAGAAATCTTTTTTAAAATGTAAGATATAAATTGCAATGTTAGGAATTTTGAGTTAATTCTTCTATGTTTTCACAATGCCGACACCACAGTTCTTCCCACAATCCTCAGCTCCTCTCCATCACCCATATCCTCTGGATTTCTGGGTCTGTAGCAAGGCTACTGGATCTAGGGACAGCTATATCTCAGCTACCATCTCCTTTCAGGCTTATCACAAAAGCACCAGTAAATAGGCCGGCGCCACGGCTCACTAGGCTAATCCTCTGCCTTGCGGCGCCGGCACACCAGGTTCTAGTCCCGGTCGGGGCGCCGGATTCTGTCCCGGTTGCCCCTCTTCCAGGCCAGCTCTCTGCTGTGGCCAGGAAGTGCAGTGGAGGATGGCCCAAGTCCTTGGGTCCTGCACCCCATGGGAGACCAGGAGAAGCACCTGGCTCCTGCCATCGGATCAGCGTGGTGCGCCGGCCGCGGCAGCCATTGGAAGGTGAACCAACGGCAAAGGAAGACCTCTCTCTCTGTCTCTCTCTCTCACTGTCCACTCTGCCTGTCAAAAAAAAAATAAAAATAAAAATAAAAAAAAGCACCAGTAAATGTGCATTTTGCAAAGCTCTCGTTGGTTGCTGAGGCAAAGTCACATATTTTTTTTAAAGATTTGTTTTATTTATTTGAAAGAGCTACAGAGAGAGGTAGAGACAGAGAGAGAGGTAGGTCTTCCATCTGCTGGTTCACTCCTCAGAGGGCGGCAACGGCTGGAGCTACGCCAATCCGAAGCCAGGAGCTTCTTCCAGGTCTCCCACATGGGTGCAGCAGCCCAAGGACTTGGGCCATCTTCTACTGCTACCCCAGGCCATAGCAGAGAGCTGGATAGGAAGAGGAGCAGCTGGGACCAGAACCCGCGCCTATATGGGATGCCGACGCTTCAGGCCAGGGTGTTAACCCGCTGCGCCACAGCGCCGGCCCTGAGGCAAAGTCGTATTAAAAAGAGCAGCACAGGAAGACAGGGTGAGGGAATATATTTGCAGTTTCACCAGCATGCAGATTACTCATCAGCACTTGTTCAGACTTGTGACTGCATGACCTCCATTTCGCAGACCTCAGTTCTCCAAAGGGTCTAATGAACTTCCCAGCTAACTGGCCTTATAAGTCAAGTACACTGCCACCAGATGAGAGTGCCAGGTCAAAGACATTCAGACCAATCTTGTGAGGCAAGTCTTCTCCAAGGTTCACACTGTGCCCTATGCAAGTCATGGCTGCTACCCTCATCAAATGTATAAACATGATCCCCACATGGTTTTTTTTTTTTTATTTTTTTATTTAATTATTTTTTTTTGAAAGACAGAGTGGATAGTGTGAGAGAGAGACAGAGAGAAAGGTCTTCCTTTTCCGTTGGTTCATCCCCCAATGGCTGCTGCAGCCAGCGCACTGGGGCCGGCGCACCGTACTGATCCGAAGCCAAGAGCCAGATGCTTCTCCTGGTCTCCCATGCGGGTGCAGGGCCCAAGCACTTGGGCCATCCTCCACTGCACTCCCAAGCCACAGCAGAGAGCTGGACAGGAAGAGGAGTGACCAGGACAGAACCAGCGCCCCGACTGGGACTAAAACCTGGTGTGCTGGTGCCGCAGGCAGAGGATTAGCCTATTGAGCCACAGCGCCGGCCCCTACACGGTTTAGTATCACACATGGATTTGTAAATGATTAGACGTAAGCATCATATTTAGAAATTGCCTAAAGGTAGTTGTTCTCATCTCTAAACATTAGAATCATCCAGGGGACTTTAAAAACTGTACTAGTGTCTACTCCTCTCTACCTCTGAAGACTGATTTGATTGGGTCCATTTTACCCACCAGAGAATCTGTTTTCTGCTTTTTTTTTTTTTTTTTTTTTTTTTTTTTTGCGGGATGGGGGTTGTGGAGGAAGTGGGAGGGAATGTCCTCACTCTTGAAATGATCACATCATCCCTTTCAATACCAGAATTAATGAAGGGATAAAATGGTGTCATTACATCTCTATCCTTCTGACCATTCATTTAGCCGTGTGCCCATCTGTCTCTATGAGCATTGCCCTATGTCAACGAGTGTAGGGAAGACCAGAGTAAACACTTGGTTCATATTAACAACTCCAGTAGATTCAGACCTCTTTAAAAACTGCTTTAGAGAATTTCAAGAGAGATTTAGAACAGAACAGAACATTCTGATAAGTAGCATATACTATTTTAAATATTCTGATTTTTAAAGTTAACTTTTTATTGTACTATAACAATGAAGAAAATAATACCCATTATAAGCATATATTCGGATGAATGATCACTAGATAAACATAACCATATACTAATTTTCTAACCAAAGGTACTATTATCCTGACTTCTAACACTACAGAATAGTTCTACCTGGTTTTCAAAGTTTATATAAATGGAATCAAACAGCGTGAATCCTTTTTGTTTGGCTTCTTTTGCTTTACCTTGTGAGATTTATCCGTGCTGTCTGGCATATGCATAGCCTGTTCCTTTATATTGTTGTGTAGTATTTTCCACAATTATATAGCTAGGAGTTGGGCATATAACAAAAATGGAACTGCATTATCAAGCCTTTTAAATTATAGAAAGTTGACAGTTGCAATGGTTTCAACTTGCATTTATTATTCCTTAATTTTATTTGTTTGGAAGGCAGAGAGACACACATACACACACAGGCACATACACACACACACAAAGAGAGACAGAGAGAGAGAGAGAGAGTCTCTATCCACTGGCTTTATTCCCCCAATGCCTACAACAGCTGGGAACTAAATTCAGATCTCCCACATGAATGGCAGGGACACAACTACTTGAGCCATTAGCTGCTGCCTCCTAGGTTACATATTATCAGCAATCAGAAGCAGATCTGAGACTTGAACCCAGGCAGTCTGATGGAGATGCAGGCATCCCAAGTAGCATCTTAATGCTGGGCCAAGCACCCACTTCTTAATTTATATTTTTGATATCTAATGAGGCTGGGTTTTTGTTTATTTGTTTTTTTACCATTTAGGTAGCCTCTTTGGTGATATAACTGAATCTCGTGTTTATTTTTTTTCTAGTAGGCTTGTGGGTTTGTGTTATTTTTTAAAAAAATCAGGGACAAAAATAATACAAGGCACTCCAAAGAGGTCACATCCCTACCTACTTTCCCAACCTGCAATAACAATAAGGATAGGAAGAATAGCTCAAAGCCTTCCTTAAAAAAAAAAAAAAAAAAAAAAAAAAAAACAAGACTCCCTTTAGGAGTGTGGCACTGGTTTCTAATACAAAGGAACCCAATCACAGGTAATTCTTGCCAGCACCACAGAGGGAGGAGGGTCCCTTAAGCAGACAGACCTATGAGACTCACTGCTGTTAACCCTCTGCACCATGCCCGTGCTATCTCTCTCTTGCAAAGATGGAGGCTCTGCTGCCCAAGTATGCTAACACAGGATGCTAGGTGGATGGCTTCCTTCTAGAGTGCTCACCTGTAAGGAAGGAAGCTGAACTGAGCGTCCTGAGCCACAGAAAGAGCAGACAGGGGGACGGGAAGGCCACAGCGAGTCCTGCTTACCGCAGCTGGAAGTGCTTGATCTTGGTGACCAGCAGTTTGTAGTGAGCACCGAGTGGTGCCATGGATGCCACATCTACAAATATCAGTTGTGTCAAAGGTCCTGTCTCGTTGGTTGCTTCTGAGGGACATAACGTGCGGCTCACTTCCTGGTAGTTGTAGCTTCTCTGGTATCTACGGCCAGTAGAAAGAAAGAAACACCAGGAACAAGGAAGACTTAGCAGGTAGCAGGGAAAGAAGTCTGTCATCTCACTTCTCTCCAAATTTGCTTTCAAGTCCTTGCATCCTAAATTTCGGACTGGACCTATCAATAGTAATTTTATCACCAGTCTTGTTGGCACTAGTTCATGTGAAATAACAGGGACACGAGGCCTGCTCTGGACTGACCAGTGCATTGACACAACATTTATGTTACATTCAGCCATCCCCCCGGACTCAGTGATGAAAAAAAAAATACCACCTTTTGAAGGGGGATTGTCTTGATAAAACAGCCAGTTGATTCTTTTTTGCCACTCTTTCAACTTTTTCCAAAATAAGGAGGAAAGAAAGTCTCAGAGTTCAAATCAAGGCCACTGGAGTCACCATTTCAACCCTCAAATTCCTCAGCCTTTGAGAAGTGATGGAACACCTCGCTACATGCCTGTTTCTGTATGCCTTCCTGGAAGTTCTATCGTGCCCTCTGTAGCTCTCCCCTGCGAAAATATAAACTCCAGGAAGACTGGGATTTTGTCGTCTTCCCAGCACCCACCACTTAGTAGTGCTTAATAAATATGACTGAAGGAAGAACCCATGCGTGGGTGACATTTTGAAGAACGGTGGAGGTGTCACTCATTTATGTTGAGTGCTGGTCCTGGCCCATTGGATGCCTATTGGACAATCATTATCCAACCAAGAGCCACAAAATCTCATGGTAGAATTTTTAAATGTCAAAAGTTCTTCCAGGGGCTGCAAATCTAGGTAGAGTGCTAATCTTAAATTCAAAGAGGATGGATATTGAACAGAGCTGAACCTGTCAAGGTCTGCGTTATGTCTGCACTTCGCATGCATCGTCTCTCAACAGTCCAAATGTCTGATTTCTCCTTTCACCAGGGAAATGACCGAGTAAGTCTAGGACACTGAAGAAAACCAAATGCTGTTGCCCGAGAAAAGATCCACTTACAGTCCTTGGAAGAGCAGAGGCACCTGCCAGGACAGCACCTCTTTCTGCTGGCGAACCACAACGAGGACCGGGTAGTCGAGGTTCTCAGAGGAACTGTTCACGTGCACCCGCACGGCGGTCACCTGCGTGGCAGGGCAGAGACAGGCACTGCAGACCACACACACGCCACACACGCTGTACCAGCGCCACTGAAGCTCGGAAAAACCTCACTCTCTGACAGCTGCTTCTCACCACAGATCATCCAAATGCCCCAGTTATTTTTCCTCATGCGTATGGGACGGGACTGGGTCTCCACTGCGATTCCCTTGAAACCACTCAGGGAGATGTACAGAAACCGACACCTGGGTCCAACCTGGGGCAATTCCCCTGTGGTTGTTGGCTGGGGGAGGCGAAATGATGGAGCCTTCAAACTGCAGGCTGAGGACTCGCTCTGCGCGCTCAACCAAAGCTTCTGAGGCTAAGTCCAGAACAGAAGAAAGAGCGATGTGCTTTCCTTCTTACAGGTGCTTAAATATAAATGCTGAAGATACAAACATCTAACAAAACACACTCCCCACCCCACAAAAAAGCTAAACACTCTGCAAGACCTCCATTGCTAACAAACTTTAATCTGGGTTTGGTGGGTCACTCTGTGTACCACATCAAAACGTTAAAGCCACATTTTGTTAAAGGATAACAGATGATCTGATGTTCCCCCCACCAACAAACCCCAGTGTTTCCCCAGGAACAGATACCACAAGGGCTGCTCCAGGAATAAAGTGGTCCCTGACATAATAAACTCTTTCAGGGGCTGCTGTTGGGGCGTAGTGGGTGAAACCACCATCTGAAGATGGCCAAATGCTTCGGCCTCTGCGCCCACATGGGAAATCTGGATGAAGCTTCTGGCTCCAAGCTTTGACCTGGCACAACCCTGGCCATACTGCTCATCTGGGGAGTGAACAAGTGGATGGAAGAACTCTCTCTCTGAATTTCTAATAAATAAATAAATCTTTTTAAAAAAAGTGTGTGTTGGGGCAGGGGCAGGTTTCATATCGGGCAGCTCCAGGGCCCTTTCTAACTATGCAGTCAACCCAAGGATTTAACCCTCTTGCGTCTGTCATAAAGACAGAAAATTGAACTATGGCCCTAGATCCAGACTCATTGGGTGTGTTGCTTCAATCTTAATAATATCTATTGCAGGCAACAGAGAAAAAAATAGAAGAAAGTCAAGGTAAAAAAAAAAAAAAGAGTCAATTTGATCTTCCATATGAAAAGTTTTCCCTTAATGCCTCAGGGTGCTCTTGAGAACTCCTTAATTAGGGGAAAGAAAATCTTGCAATTAAACCTTGAAGATCTATTACATGTTTAAAATGGAAATTGAGAGGAAACAGAATAGAATGGGTATCATATATTGCTGTTTGTTTTTCTTACATCACCCTCCTTGATCAGGCCACTGCTTCTCTTTGTAAATGCTAAAACAGTCCAAGAGTAATTTATTAATTTGCCAAGAAGTGGTTACTGATGAGAAGTGTGTTCTCCTGTGCTTACACTCCACGTGTTTCCATGGAAATGATGCTTCAGTTGATAATTGCCAAAACCATGTCTCTAGCCTGGGCCTCTTTCTTAAGCTCTCAATATCCCTTTGGAATGACAAAGTCAATGTGTTTGAAATGAAGCCCATCGCTCCCTTCACCCTGACTTTATTTGCTTCTGAGTTCCCTTGCTGGAGCAATGGCACCAGCAGGCAGCCATTCCTCTATGCCTGAATCCTGCAAGTCAACTTTGAGTCCTACTTTTTTTTTTTTTTAAGATGTATTTATTTCAAAGAGTTACAGAGAGAGAGGGAGAAAGAGAGAGAGAAATCTTCCATCCACTGGTTCACTCCCCAAGTAGCTGCAATGGCCAGGGCTGGGCCAGGCTGAAGCCAGGAGCCAGGAGCTTCATCCGGGTCTTCCATGTGGTTGGCAGGAACCCAAAAACTTGGGCCATCTTCTGCTGCTTTTCCCAGATGCATTAGCATAGAGTTAGATCAGAAGTGGAATAGTTGGGACATTAACCAGCCGCCCATAACAGATGCCAGCATCATATGCGGCGATTTTACCTGCTATACCACAATGCCAGCCCCTGAGTCCTACTTCTTTAGCTTCCTCAGTCAATAGTTCTACTGATTCTATCTTCTGGATCCACCCTTCCGTTCCCTAATGTTACTCACAGATCACATCTGTGACCCCTCTCAATGGCCCCCATCTGTCCTTATCCCCAGGACGGTATGCCTAGAGTGTCAAATTTATCTGTCATTCCCCAAAGAATGTTCAGGTTTACTCCAAAGAAATAAGAATACTACAATGAATACTCATGTACTTATCATCCAGCTTTAATAATTATTAACAAATATATTTTATCTTATTTATGTCTCCAGTTTTCCACACACATCCGGACTAGATTTAATCCAAACCAAAGATCATATTATTTAGTCTGTAGATCATTCATTCTATATCTCTAGGAGATAAGGCCTCCTCTTTTTAACATAAACCCAATGCCATTATCCCATCTAATAAAGTTAATAATTCTTTAAAATTACTTTCCACACAGTGCTTAAATTTTATTATTTGTTTGAAAAATTTTTTTAAGTTTAAAAATATTGGTTACAAACAAGACGTGTACATTGCATTTGGATCATGTAACTTCTGCCTATCTTTTATCCAAAATACCTCACCATCCTTTTCAGAGGCATTTGTTTGTTAAAGAAACCAGCTCACAACACATGGTACCACTGTGAGGTACCCACATTCTGGATTTTTCTGATTGCACCCTCTAATGTCATAAACAGTTCCTTTACCCTCTGTAGTTCCTGTGAGCTGGTAGTTAGCTCTAGAGTCTTGCTTAGATTTATGTAGCCAAATATCTCAATCTTTTCCCTGGATTTTGAATCAGCCAAGGAACTTTTCACAACTCCCAGTTACCTCTAGTATTTCATGGTTTCATTAAAAAAAAAAACAACAACAACAACAACAAACATAAACCTCTGATCCTCTAAAATCAGTACTAGTATATGGTATAAGGAATGATTTCAGTTTTATCCTTTTTCACATATCGCTTTCTAGTTATCCCAACAAGACTTTTAGTAAGTTCATCTTTTCTCCATTGATTTGAATGCTTACAGGCTCTTCTTAGTTTCTTCCCTGATTTCGTCTTTAATGTCTTTGCTTGCTGATGCCTCACTCTATCCTGTCATGTTCAATCACCTGATGTTTGTCAAAGGGCTATACCCCCAACGATGAATTGCCCTTGGGACATCCTCTTCATCCCAAGGATCCTCCTTTAGGGATCCTTCCCTAATAGCACCCACCCTGCCAAATAAGTGGGTGTCTCTCTCTTGAGGAGAGCTTGTGTGGCCTCTGGTCACCTCCAGGTGCTATGTTCATACCACATAGCATTTTAAAATGTAGTCATATTTATTGCTTTTTTCTTGGTCATTTCTCATATCATTTATAAAACTGAACTTTAATTCACACACTACACAATTAATTCTTATAAATGTACAGTTGAGTAGCTTTTAGTATATTAATGGAGTAGTGTGACCATAATCACTATCTAATTCCAGAATATTTTCATCACTCCCAAAAAGAAACCCTGTAGCTATTAGCAGTCACTGCCTCCTTCACTGAATCTCTGGCAACCACTAACCTAATTTCTATCTCTATGAATTTGCCTATTCTGGACATTTCATATAAATGGAATAACGCAATACATGCCCTTTGGTATCTGGCTTATTTCACTTAACATAATGTTTTCAAGGCTTGCCCATTACAACACACATAAGTACTCCATTCCTTTTATTGCTAACACAATATTACGTTTATGAATAAAGCACAGTTTGTTGATCTACTCTTCAGTTGATAGACATTTGGGTTGTTCCACTCTTTAGCTATTACAAGTCATGCTGCTATAAACATCTGTATACAAGTTTTGTGTGAATGTGTTTTTAATTCTTTTTAAAAATATTTATTTATTTATTTGAAAGAGTTACAGAGAGAGAGGGAGAGAGATAGAGAGGTCTACCATCCACTGGTTAATCCCTCAAATGGCCAGGCCAAAACCACGAACCCGGAGTTTCTTCTGGGTCCCCCACATGGGTGCAGGGGCCCAAGCACTCATGCCATCCTCAGTTGCTTTCCTAGGCTCATTAGCAGGGAATCAGATTGGAAGAGGAGCAGCCAGGATTTGAACTGGTGTCTATATGGGATGCTGGCACTGCAGGCCTGCTATGCCACAGAGGCAGCCCCTGTTTTAAATTATTTTGGGTATATGTTTATAGGTGTAACTACTGGGAGACCTAGTAATTCTATATTTAACTTTATGAGGAACCATAAAATTGTCTTCCAAAGAGAAGCGGCAGTTTATATTCCAATGATTTACATAGCCAGCAATGTATAAGGATTCCATTTTCTCTACATATTTGCCAACACTTGCTATTGTTTGTCTTTTCAAAAATAATTTTAACATTAGTTGCCAACTTCGTTTATTTTTATTTGAATGGCAGAGGGGGGAGGGAAGGAAGGAAGGAAGGAAGGAAGGAAGGAAGGAAGGAAGGAAGCGAGGGAGGGAGGGAGGAAAAAACAAGAACTATCTTCAGTCTGCTGGTTCACTGCCCAAATGCCCATAACAGCCAGGGCTGGGCCAGGCTGAAGACAGGAGCCTGAACTTCAATCCAAGTCTCTCATGTGATTGGCAGGAACCCAAGTTCTTGAGCTGTCGCTTGCTGCCTCTAAGGTTTTGTATCAGCAGGAAACTGGAATAGGAAGCAGAGCTGGGATTTGAATTTAGGCACTCTATTATGGGATGCAGGCGTCCCAAGCAACATCTTAACTGCCACCCCTTGTCAGTCTTTTGGATTGTTGTATCCTAGTGGGTATGAAGCTGTATCTCATTGTGAACCACACAGTATTTTAACTGTTAGTTTATCTAGTGTATTACTCAGTTTTATGTAATTTCAACTAAAATACTGAGAGAAGCTAATTATGTAGGAAGAAGGTGTATTTTTGCTCATGGTTTTGGAGGGTCTCAGTCTAAGATCAAGCAGCACTATTAGACTAGCATCTGGTAAGGGTGGAGGCTGGCAATGGTGGAACATGTATGAAGA